CTCCCCCTGCTTGTGTTCCCTCTCTCGCTGTGTCTCTCTCTGTCAAATAAATAAATAAAATCTTTAAAAAAAAAAAAAAGAATTTTTGCTTAATCTCATATGAGGAAACAATTATGAAAATAAAAGCATCAAAATCTGTGGTTCTCTATAGTTGTAGTACTGTCTCCCTCTACCCCCAGTGAGCATGGTAGAAATTTGTAGTTTGTTTTTGTTGGTACAGTGATGGGGAGTAGGGGTAGGGTCAGAAATCCTGCAATTCTTGAGGCACATGGGTGGCTCAGTTGGTTGAGCAGATGACTTGATTTTGCTCAGGTGATCTCGGGGTCCTAGGATGGAGCCCTACGCTCAGTGGGGAGTCTGCTTGAGGATTCTCTCCTTCTTCCTCTGGCCCTCCCCCTGCTCTTGCTCTCTCTCTCTCTCTCTCTCAAATAAATAGATATTCAAATAGGGGAAAAATCTGCTTAGAATAAATTTGAGTCTAGAAACTATTTTACATATAAAACAGTATATTTTTTATTGTTAAATTTTCCAAGACTGTAACTACTATGAAAATTTGAGAGTGGATTGTACTTTGCTTCCTTCTGAAACTTTACCAAGAGTTGTCCACCATTCAGAAAATTATTTAATGGGAGATAATGTCATAATTTGTGTCTGAACTCCAATACAACACACCTGCATTAGTCTGCATTTGTAGCTCTCCTCTTTATGGGGATTCTATGTATACATACAAATCATTCATTTTGCCCTTACTTCAAAATGTCAAATACAAAGAAAATGGTCGATTGGATATAATTTTACTTTTCTTATGTCTAAACATTCATTATAAGTACAAATGTCTGATACATTATGTCTTCTAGTGAAGTTATAACCAAACATTTATATATTGAAATACAGTCCATATAATTTTCTTAGGTCTTTTCTTGTATTTTTCCTTTATATCACAGTTAGGACATAATACCTTTCTTTTTTAAATTCTGTGTATGTAAGTTAAGTAATGATTTTCTAGGAACTTGATGGGATGATAAAGGGATAATACAGAGTATTTATAATAAAATGGAGCACTCGACTAAAGGGATCAAAAATCACTGATTGCTTTTCTGTTTTTCTACATTCTCCATCTGGAAAGGGCAAAAGAACCAAAGTACATGTATAAGAACTTTGAATAACATATATCTCAATATTGACTCTTCATCTTAATCCATCATCTGTCCCCTCACCCCCCTCCACCCTTATAAAAGAGGGAAAAATAGAAATACTACAGGAATAGGTAGGTTTACCAAGATGGAAATCTGGATTTTGAAAAAATTCATGAAGAACATTCTGAATCTGCAAATCAAAGAAAACAGACCATGCATTACATCTCAATTGCCATATATTTAGTGTTTTAGACTAAAAGCCATCTAGAGTCTTTCTGTTTAAGTCTTGAGTAATCTTTCTAAACCAGGGACTGAAATTATTAATAATTAACATTAAGTTCATAGACTACTTCAAGGTATATCAAATGTTTTTTCATACATATCCTCAATGATTCCCATTGAGAACGTTCTGTGTGAGAAGTAGGATGCTGAGAGTGATCCTATTTTGTCCTCTCCAAGGACATTTCTAGCAACCTTCAGACACTGGGCATCTTTGGCAACCAGCTTGGCAATCCAAAGAATCCTCTATAATTCCTTGTCCTTCAATTACTAAAAAACAAAACTTCTGAGTTCTTCTTGGTCCATTTTTAAAAAATAGATTTGAGGGACCTCTGGCTAGCTCAGTTGGTAGAGCTTGTGACTATTGATCTCCAACGTGAGTGCAAGCCCCACACTGGGCATAGAGCTTACTTTAAAAAAGATAGACTTGATTTTTTAGAACAGTTTTAGGTTCACAGAAAAACTGAGCACAAAGTACAGAGAGTTTCCATATACTCCCTGTCCTCCCCACCACATACACAGCTTCCCCACTATCAACGTTCCCTACCACAGTGGTACATTTGTTACAATCAATGAACCTCCATGAAACATCATCATCCAAAGTCTATAGTTTACATTAGGAATCACTCTTGATGTTGTACATTTTATGGGTTTCGGCAAATGTATCATGACATGTATCCATCATTATTGTATTATACAGAATTGTTTCATCACACTAAAAATCCTCTGTGCTCTGCCTATTCATCCCTCCTTCTGTCTTCACTCCTAGAAACCCTGATCTTTTTGCTGTCTCCATAATTTTTTCCAGAATGTCATAAAGTTGGAATCATACAGTATGTAGCTTTTTCAGATTGGCCCCTTTCACTTAACAATACACATTTAAAATTCTTCCATGTCTTTTCATGGCTTGATAGCTCATTTATTTTTATTTTTATTTTATTATTATTTTTAAGCTCATTTCTTTTTAGTGCTGAATAATATTCCATTGTTTAGATGTACCACACTTTATTTATACATTCAACCACTGAGGGAAATCTTGGTTGTTTCCAAGTTTTGGCAATTATGAATAAAGCTGCTATAAACATCCACATGCAGATTTTTGTGTGGACATAAGTTTCCAACTCCTTTTGGTAATTACCAATAAGCATGATAGCTGGATCATATAGTAAGAGTATGTTTGGTTTTATAAGAAACTGTAAACTGTCTTCCAAAGTGGTTGTACCATTTTGCGTTATCACCAACAATTTCCAACAGTTGCTGTGTATCTTTGTCAGCATTTGGTGTTGTCAAGGTTCCAGATTTTGACAATTCTGATAGGTGTGTACTGGTATCTCATTGTTTTAATTTGCATTTCCTTGATGACAAGTGTGGAGAATATTTTCATATGCTTATTTGCCATCTGTATGTCTTTGGTGAAGTGTTCAGGTCTTTTGCCCATTTTTTAAAAAGATTTTATTTATTTATTTGACTGAGAGAGAGAAAGAAAGCACACAATCAGGGGGAGCTGCAGAGGGAGAGGGAGACAGGGAGCCCGATGTGGGGGCTCCATCCCAGGACTCTGGGATCATGACCTGAGCTGAAGGCAGACACTTAACCAACTGAGCCACCCAGGTACCCCTGCCCATTTTTAAAATCATTTGTTCATTTTCTTATTGTTGAATTTTAGGAGTTCTTTGTATATTTTGGATAATAGTCCTTTATCAGGTATCTCTTTTGCAAGTATTTTCTCCCAGTCTGTGGCTTGTCTCCCTTGGTCTATTTTTAATAATTCACTTTGAATTGAAAATATGCTTCGCATTGTATCTAACCAATAAATGTTCTCACATCTATATACACCTAAGAGAAAATGTTTAACTGTTAGAGTACAGTTGTTTTCTGATGCTAAAAGACACATGTTCTTAGTTTACAGAAGTAATTAGTCACCCACATACAAAAAAACAAAGAAACAAATGAAATCTATGTCTATCCATAACAAAGAGTTTGGGAACCTCAGCCAGAGTCAATATTTTAGAAATTTAGCTAGAATCTTTTGTTTTTTTAAATGCTTAATAGAAAATTGAAGAAATTGACTCTCATGGACCAGACAGGTCAGGAATCAGCTTACCTCAGCAAGACCGAAAATTTAGAGGTAGATTTCTAGCACTCCACTCAATATTGCAGCAATCATCCTCTTATCACCCACCCCACCTACCCTTCACAATATCCTCCTTTCTTACCACTACCAGGGGAATCATTCCTTTGGGGTCTAGAATCCATTCACTAAACTGCTCCTGCAGAGCCTGCTTCCGTGTATTGGCCACCTGGACTTTGACTTCTGTTATGCATTGTCTTTGTTCTCGTTTCTGTTTAATACTCTCCTTCATCTTGCTTATTCTAAAGGACGTTGAAATAAAAGACATATTGAGTTAAGATCATTGAATTTCATTCAGATTGTTCAAATGGCAGAAAAGAATAATTCAGAGCCTTATTTAAACTTTGTTCCTATCTTTAAAAAAAATAAATAAGGGGG